TGAAAATATCCATAAAAATAAAAATAAAAATGTTCTTTACATTTACTTTACGTTAATAAAGATGAGTTAGGACCCTACATCAAAAGAAATGACTCACTTTCTTAATAGGTACATCACCTTATGGTGACTTTTAAACTGCCCATTAAAGAAGAGGGAGCTTGCCACAACAGCATTTCTCAAAATATATTGATATATATATCAATATATTTGTTAGTGCAAAAGTACAGTATAACCACAGACCATGTCAAGTAATTTCCATTCAAAAGTAACACATACCTTGAGGGTGATAGGGTGTGTCTCAGCCCACCTCCTTCTCTTGAGTGGTGTTTTTTCCAGGTTGACAAAGGTAGCTGTCCTTGAAGGAGTGCGTTTTGTCCTTCAGGTGTATGTGAACAGCTGAGTCCTCTCCTAGAGAACATTAAAATGTTTATGTGCATTGCTATATAACCTTCAGCCCTAATTTATCCAATGTAAGATATTTTAGAATGAAAGATCAACAGCAATCACCTGACTTTTTCTATTAAAGTAAGTATTTCTCTCTGAGAAAAAGGCAACTCTGATATAATTTCACACAACATTCATAAAATGGTTAGGAAATTGTCAAATTTGCCCTTTTCTCCTTTTTTTGTGTGTGTGTAGTTCCAATACACACAAAGGAAATAAACTGAATATATACCTACTAAAACGTGTAACGATCAATAACTCAATGGAAGAAATGCCTATTTTCATGGAAAAATGTCAGGGGCCCATACACTTCCATCCAAGTCTGTAGGCCAATATCAGAGACTTGTAAATGAGCTTATGCAATACTGTAAACCCTGCGCTAATTTAGTAAGGTACTGTTTTAAAACAGCTGAAAAATCACAGCGCTATTAGACATTCGAATTGCATACACATAAGTTCGCAGGCTACATGAGAAAGTTTTATGACTATGAAAATAACGATAATTCGCAACATTAGCTATTCAAACAGCATTCAGACACGATCTCATGCACGTGGCAAGTTGAAATAATTTGACTGTCAAACCGATGCATTGCATACTGGTCATATAAAGTATTTAAAATACAATAACATTTCTTGTATTTTAAATACTTTATATGACCTTTAATTGATTTCTTGAAGAAACTAACCTTGTTAGTTTGGTCGGTAGCAGAAAACCATAGCTTGTCTGCAAGGGCAAATTGGCCGATGTACGCATGCGCAGTTAACTCGGGTAGGAAAAAACTATAGGAAGGAAAAAACTCCCCAACACCTGTTCCGTAACCGGAAATAAGACCGTATAACATATTCCTATTTCCGTTATACAAACATTCCAATATCAGCGCGCCCCCTACAGTTGACCGCTGGCATTCTTTTTTTTTTAGTTTAGTCTCTTAAAACTTTGTCTTTGATAGAAAAAGCGTGCTTTGACGATGATAACAGAAAAGCTCATTGGTAAAAATCTAAATCTAAATACAAAATACAAAATAATTTCAAATATATTTTTAGTTAATACTTACTTCAGTTATATATATATGAGGAAGTTGAATATATGAAACAGCAGCTAGCTATTACAATGCCTTTTTATCACAATGATTAACTTTAAATTAAAATCAGATAAGTATTTGAAAGGTAAAAAAAAATCTAATAAAGAAGAAAATGTATTTTTCTTTGTACAGGAGCATCATTTGAAATCAAAATTGCATTTGCCTACCCAACAGAAAGGTGTTCTATTGTTAGGTTTACACTAAATACTTAAATAGTTACATGCATATTTAGCAGGCTATTTTCAGCTTGTGGTGTAGTGACGTTACACAAGCGCCCCCCCCCCCCCCCCCCCCCCCCTCCCCCGGATACAGTCGTGTGATTGGCTGCAAACAAACGAGACATCTGATTGGCTGCTGACGGGCCCCATGTATAAAAATTGCATTCGAGTATCTGGTCACTGCCAGACGAGTCTCAAATGTGGAAATATTCCAAATGCATTTTTAAAAGTACGTATGTGAATCCTTGTTTGTGTATTTATTCTTTTTGAGACTGTTCTAACTCCATAGTGCAGGCTCATTAGTTTGTTAACTGGTAAATACACACAGTCACTGCACACTATTGTCAGTGCAGCTAAAGGAAAATTCCAGCAACTCTTATACTGAATTATACTGCAAATACTGATCGCATCAAAAGTCTGCAAATGTTACAAAAAATGGCCAAGACACAGTAGATGAACCTGCATCACAGTTTTGCATCTACATTTTTGTCTACAGCTGGAACAAATGAGTGTATTTTTAGTCATTTTGGAGAAAAATCATTTTTTTGGAGATTTGTTCAGGATCTTATCAATACAGTATTTTAGGTTGATCAAAAATTGGCGTACCAAAAAAGTATATTTTTTCTGAATTTTAAACACAAAATGGACATAGCTAAGTATTTTGAGGCAAATGTGTGTATTTTTAGTCATTTTTGAGAAACTTTTGTTTTCAGAGATTTGTTCAGGAACTTATTGGTATAGCATTTTGGTCTTCTTTTCCGCTTAAGCCAACCTAGAAGTCTGCATTAAAAGACATCACTGCCACCTACTGCGTCAAGTGTACAATTTACCATGTTCCACATTTAAATTCAGTTTTAAACAAGATTTTATTGTATTTCATTCTCAACATATTATATATCCAAAATATATACTCCATAGCAAAGTTGGCCGGGTTTGGGCATGAAACTCCCAGGCTGAAAAAGTGGCCTACTCTGGCCCTGGTTTCCCTAGAATACATTTTAACACGAAAATAGGGCAAAAATAGAATCAAGGAAGACAAAGAAATATGCATCACAGTTGTCATACGATTATTGAACAAAGAGTTATTTTAAGAATGTCCGACACTGGCCTTAAAAAAACTACTAGTTTGGGTCAGTTTTGCTAATGTCCACATCAAACTCCTTTGTTTGTTTTTGTACGTGTTGCTGAACTTTGACAGATGCTGAGGTTTATTTACTGTGTTAGGACATATGGAACTTGTCGGTGATGACAGTAGAGATAAATTATCTGTTATCATAGATCAGGGTAATGGGAGGCCGAGAGGAGCTGTACAGCTGAGGATAAATCTCTGAGAGCTCCTCTGTGCATGTAGTAAATTACAGAGGTTAGAAGAATACCAGAAGAAAATGTTTTATTAAAAAAATGTACTTACCTAAAGGATGGGTGATGGACATTAATGTTGTGAAAGCATTAGCAAAGGAAGACAAACTGAAGGTGGATCTTTGTTTGTGACACATAAAGAGGGTAAAAGGGAGGAAACAGACATTTAACACTTCTCCAAAATCAACTCTGATCCCTGCTGGTCTGCTTATCTGCACTGGAGACGTACAGATGGGTGAGTCTGAAGGGAGTGCAGATCCTGTGTGGTGGAGTCGTCAAGCTGATGTTAACCAGGTGCACACTTGCTCTGCTGCAGCAGTCTGGAAGAAAAAGATACTTTTCAGATTTGGGCTCCACCTTGTCCCGCAAACCAGGTTTTTCCTCCCATTCACCCTGACTTTGTGAAATATATTGATGTTTTTCCTAAGGTTGTTTGCATATATTATGTCAAAGATGTATTTATGGTGGGCCTGATTTTGATCCATCCCAAAGAGCGGTCCAGTCCTGACGTAGACCCTGAGGTTCAAGAACAGATCGAGTGGTTTGTCTATAAATTAAAAGACAAACTGCTCCTCCACTGTCTCTGTGGGAAAAAAGGAGTATGACACTTCACAGGATGTATTGCTATAAGAACTATGGCTGTAATCAAAAAGAAATGTGGAGACACAAGTTTACACACACGCTGTTTATTAAAGCTCCTCAACTCAAATATACTGTGGTAAAAAAAATCAAATAAAATCAAGGGTTTTCACTGCCTTTGCATTTGGTTATTTAACTGGTGGAGTTCACAGCCTCAGTGGGATGAACTGAACTAAAAAAACAGAGTTCCTTCAACCAGTGGAAAGTCTGTTCTTTTTGTCTTTTTAAATGGAACAAAAATCAGACGTATAGAAACCTGTTGCGTAAATTCAGTGGTTTTAATAAAGTGGGGTAAAAAAAAAAGTAAAGTTTGTTCTGCTTTCAAATGTCCTTATTTTGTGTGACAATGATAAAACTTGTCACACAGATACATCTACCCCGTAGATTTTCCTGTCCACTGAGGAAAACCTCGACAATTCCGTGATTGGAGTGATCCCCCTCCTCCTACTGGCCATGTTTATGTTTTCAGCTGAACCCACCCTTTTATTGAAAGCAATTAGCAGAACATAAACACTGTGTCTCCCTGTGTGAAAAAGAAGCATTGCAGCCAGTTTTTACACTAGATGGATAGTGCTGTTACTCTTCAGATCCTTATTGAGTACACCAACGCCCATCAGGCAATCTCCAGCCAAACTACGCTCACGATTCACGGGTAGATTTCACGTGGTTGTATCTGTTGTTGGACAAATACTTGAGAGAAGCGTCTTCAATTGTTTTATACATTTAAATCTAACACTTAAAAAAGACTCCTTGATTTTTTCCCCCAACCTTCCCTTCATAAGTAAAAATGAACAAGCTGGTATTTAATAAATGCTGTCAAACTGTCTGTAAAATAACAAAATGTTTAATGTTCCTGTTACTCCCCCCCTGACCCCCTGCCCACCCCCACAGCTTAGTTGACCTTGACAGAGTTCCAGTCGAAAAACGTGCTCAGTGGTATCTGCAGACTGAAGTGTTAGGTTATCTCCTGCTCCTCCTACACCGCTGCTCCTAGTCTCCGCATGGATACTGTAAGTGTAATAGTGAATCCTCAAGTTGTTGCCTGAAAAAAACAACTGATAATCACCATTCAATTAGTCAGACTCTGGCATCCCAACGATGAGAAAAAAAGCTTGTGTCTGCTAAACGCACACGTGTTGCTAGAGCATGGTAAAACACTCAAGGGTTTAATATGTGTGTGTGTGTTATATTGGACTATCTGCTTCTCTCCCTGTGTATATCTGCAGCCTCCATGAGGTCACTGCATTTATCCACCGTCTAATCCCTGAGATGAGAAAGTCGCCCTAAGGTCAACGCAGCCTTCCTCCCGTTTAGCAGTTTGGAGTGTGTTGTGACGTCTCTGAGCTGTCTCTTCATCTCTGGATCGCCAACTGAAGCCTTCACACTAAACCCTCACCTCTAGTGTTGGGCAGGACTTTACAGAACAGTAAACACAGAACACACAACTCTAATATGATGGCTGAACTCAAGAGCTAAAGGAAGGCATAAAAAAATCATGCTTTAAATGTGTGATATTGTAATCACTGTGGTGGAAAAGTGACCGTCCTTCCTTCTTTATTCACACATACTCGCCAATAATTTAACCATTAGTCTTGATTGGCTGACGTCCCACACCACCGGCTGTGCTCTCACTCGAGCCAACTATCTTGACGGCTATGGAATACTGATGCTCAGTTGTGGGGCCCTGTGTGGGCAAAACAGTTCCCTCCTCAAAGGCCAAAGCTTTTTTTCAGTCCCTGTTGTTTTGCCTTAATTTAAAATTATAGTAAACAGAGTCAAATAAATAAGCAGTGAAAGTCGATGAGTGGTTTTTGTGCCATGTTGGCTGTTTAACAGCAATTTTACTGCATTCATATAATTTAGTAAAATGTTTTTTTCTTTTTTTTTAAACCAAAAAGGGAGAGCAGCCATTAGCACAGTACAAACCATTTGTCACCTTCACATTTTTCATATTTTTTAGAATTATTTTTAATGATTTACATTTAAAGTGTTTTAGTGCATTCAAATTATTAAGTGACAGATTATTTTATATGCTTTTTAAAAATGTATTATTATTGTTTATTTATTTTACACAAATGGCTATATGTAGCAATAAAACTAACAAACTTTTGCACAATACAAACCATTTGTCAGTGTTTGCCAAGTGGGGGATGGTTCCACCTAGTGGGCAAGGAGTTATAGCAAGGGTGTGTAGCAGCTCAAATAAATTTAATTTTTTATACATATATATATATATTTTTCCTGGTGAGAATATCGCTTTTTGAGGAATTGAGGTAGTGGGTGGGGACAAGAGCCCTAGAAACTGCAGAAAAACGTTTGGGAACCACTGTCATTTGCCTCTCAACTTATCCAGACAAATTAGTTTTACAAACATCAATGTTGAAGCTGATTTCTTTTACTAGCTCCACATTCAAACAACATTCATTTTAGTCACCGTGCACATCAATAATGTTCAACTACATGTGACCTTCCTGTTATCACCTGCTGAAATCGGTGTAATTTAAGATACATTGTAATTAGTCCATGTTGTTAGTGCAAGCTCTGTGTATACAGTTTGGACGTCCATTCCGTCGTCCACTGCTCCGTAGTGTAAACAGGCTATTTTTCAAAGCTATCAGCAGGTTTTGAGCATATTTATTTATTCATTTATTAACGGGCACATTCAAGCACTTCATATTAGCGTGAATTGTAAAATTGTAATGATCATAAACCTCCTTTAACCACAATCTTGATTAGTATAAAATATCATTGTTGTTGAACTCGATAATGGAAAAATAAACATGGTTCATTTGGACTATTACAGAGAGAGAGCAACAAAAACACCCATAAGACTGCTGCTGGCAGGAAATGACACGGGTGTTGTGTGTTGGGCATCACACGCTGACTTGCTCAAAAAGATGCTCTGCCAATAAAAACACAAATCTTTCTATGTGTATGCTCATCTAAAAAAAAAAAAAGAAAACCCTGAAGCTGGAAGCCTTTTCTTCCCCTGATTATTTCCATTTACCTTTCCTGTCAGAAAAGTTCCAGTCCCCTAATGTAATCTCTAACGGCCACAAGAACCAACAAATTACATTCTGATCCCTACTAAGAGTTCCAGGTTTTATTTAATCCTGCCTGAGCAGAAATAAGATGTTCAGGACATGAAGAGAAATGCATTTGGAGTAATTTTTTTTTACTAAAAATCATAGCATAATAAGACATTTTTGGTCAATATTTGGCAGCTAAAGATATAATTTTTATATATATATATATATTTTTTTTCTTTTCTGCATGTTTCTCATCAAATTACTGCATTTTGAAAAATATTTTAAAATTTTTTTTTTGGAATTTTTCGACAAAATTCTAGTTTCCATGTCATGGTGGTCAGAAGGTGAAAAAGTTTCACGAAAAATGTCAAAAAAAAGAAATTCCACATGGCACATGTGGCACTCAGCGTATGTTCTGACAGGTATCACATATCACTACAACCCACTTCAGCGAGGTCTAATCTAAGGCTAAAGGCCACTCCACTGTGCCTGCTGCCACTGTACTCCAGGAGAAGGGAGATGTGTATTTGTGCTGGGGCCAAAAAAGAGAGGTGCCGTGAAACCTAACACCAGCTGGAGATTTCAGCTGGCAGCAGAAGAATTATCTCCCATCGTGGGCCACTGAAGGCATCAGGGAATACGCAGGTGAAAGGTCAAAGTATGATGTGACGTCTTTGCTTTAGTCAAGACTGTGTGTGTCCAAA